CTCACAGCAACCTCAAATTCCTGGGCTTAAGCAATTCTCTTGCCTCAGCCTCCCAAGTAGCTGCTGGGACCACAGGCGCCCGCCACAACACCCAGCTATTTTTTTGTTGCAGTTTGGCTGGGGCTGGGTTTGAACCCACCACCCTCGGTATATGGGGCTGGTGCCCTACTCGCTGAGCCACAGGCACTGCCCCTGTAGGTTGTCTCTTAAGTCTAGGCTCTGTTCAGTTTCTGCTTTCTGCTCTCTGCCTCAGAATGCAATGACGGTGATCGGGTTCTCAGAGAAGGAGATTCGACAAGTGCTAGAGGTGATATCCCTTGTGCTGAAGCTGGGGAACGTGGAAGTGGCTGATGAATACCAGGCCAATGGGATACCAGCAAGTGGCATTCGTGATGGGACAGGTCTGTGTCACCCTGCTGGAGCCATCACGGAACCCCCTGAATCTCTCCCTTCCAGTCCAGTTCTTCCAGTCCGAATGTCTAGCGTATTCGGCTCCACCCTGACACCGTCCCACTCAGCCCACTCCTGGGTATTCCTGCAAACAGACTTACTGAAAGCTCTTGTGAAGCATATTGGAACAAGGTTTTGAAGTTTGATAGATCTAGGTCTGAGATTTCTGAGTCTCAAGTTTATTCTCCCATGCAGTACTAACCAGGCCTGACCCTGCTTAGCTTCTGAGAGAGTCTTAGTTTATTCTTCTACAAAATGGGGATAATCATACCTATTTCAGGAAATTCTCATATTAAATTGGCTAATACACAAAGTGCCTAGATGTCCCTTCTCTTGTCCCCTTACCCCCAGAGATTCCTCTAGGGCCATGTGCTGGGTTGGCTGCAATGATTTCCTCAGCAAAACCTATCAGCTCTCCCTTCCTCCCTTGAGAGAAAACCCCCTCTGAGGCCATATTGTATTTTCTCATGATTCCAGGTATTCAGGAGATTGGGGAGATGGTAGGTTTGAGTTCAGGGGAACTGGAGAGAGCTTTGTGTTCAAGGACTATGGAAACAGCCAAAGAGAAGGTGGTCACTGCACTGAATGTTATCCAGGTAAGGGGCCACATTGGACAGGGCTTGTGGTGAATATGTCCTGTGGCTGCCATGCTAACTGGCTTGGCCCCACCCTGCAGGCTCAGTATGCTCGGGACGCTCTGGCTAAGAACATCTACAGCCGGCTCTTCAACTGGATAGTAAATCGAATCAATGAGAGCATCAAGGTGAGTGATTGGGCTCCTCTCTCAACATGCTCCTGTTTGTCTTACTTTCTTGCCCTGGACACCATCCACATACCTTGCTCTGAGATGAAGAGAGTAAGGAGGTTGAAGGGGAGAGAGGGTACAGTTCCTTCCAGTAGTGTGTTGTTGGACAATCTGGATCCATCTCCTTACCAGTCATGTGGACTTTCAAGTTCACAAAGATTCTGGGACTCGATTTCCTGATTTGGAGATGTCCACTAAGAAACACTAACGTTCCCCCTGCTTTATTAGATTTAGTGAGGATCAGATAAAGTTATTTACGTGGTTACCACATGATCCAGCAATTCCACACCCAGGTATATATCCAAGAGAAGTGAAAATAGATGTCCTCACAAAAACTTGTACACAAATGTTCAAGGAGGCCTTATTTGTAATAGCCAAAAAGTGTCAATAACCCAAATTACCTTCAACTGATGAACAGATCAACAAAATGTTGTATAGCCACATACAAGAGTATTGTTTAGCCATAAAAGGACTGAAGTATTAATACCCGGTACAAATTGATGAACTTTGAAAATATGCTGAATGAAAGAATCTAGTCACAAAAGACCACATTTTGTATGATGCTATTTATATGAATTGACATAGTAGAGAAATCCACAGAGGTGGCAAATAGATCAATAATTTCAGGGGCTCGAGGAAAGGGTGATGGAGAGCAACTTAGAATGGGTCAGGACTTCTTTTTGGAGGTGATGAACATGCTCTGAAATTGGGTAGTGGTGATGGTTTGACAACATTTCAGATTTACTAAAAAACATGCTGAATTGTATATCGTGTGAATTATAGTCAATAAAGCTATGATTTAAAAAGTATCAACATGAAAGTGCCATCTATTTAGAAGCTATTACTGAAAGGCAGTGGGGTAAGCTGGGGTTTGAATCAGGCTTGGTCAGTGCTTACCCTTCTGAAATTTGACTTTTTCATCTCTAAAATAGGAATAATCATATTACCATTTTACAATCCCTTATAAAGTTATGATAAGACTTAATTAAATAAGAACATGGAATTTTTTTTTTATAAAATGTGCTACAGGGCAGCGCCCGTAGCTCAGTGGGTAGGGTGCCGGCCACATACACTGAGGCTGGTGGGTTTAAACCCAGGTCATCGTTTCTCCTGGGTCAGCTAAAATCAAGAATGACAACTGCAACGACAACAACAACAAAAAATAGCCAGGCGTTGTGGCGGGCGCCTGTAGTCCCAGCTACTTGGGAGGCTGAGGCAAGAGAATTGCTTAAGCCCAAGAGTTTGAGGTTGCCGTGAGCTGTGACGTCACGGCACGCTACCAAAGACGACATAGTGAGACTCTGTCTCTAAATAATAAATAAATAAAATAAAATGTGCTACAAATATAAGGGATGGCTCCTTTCTGGAGGGGTTTTAATTTAACGTCTTATTCCCTCACGCCATGGGAGCTCCATCCTGGAATCTACTTGCACCTTCCTTTTCCTCCTTGCCTCCCTCTGTGCTTGTCCTCTGGCAGGTGGAGGGGAAAGGAGAATAAAACTACAATAGTTTCTTTCCAGTTTATCAAGGTCACTCCAGTTGTGTTTGCCCCTTACTCTGACAACTCCCAGAAGGGCCTGGTTTGGTACCCAGATGGGGCCTGTCCTCAGATTTATTCTTCCTTCCTGCACAGGTGGGCACTGGGGAGAAGAAGGTGGTAATGGGGGTCCTGGATATCTACGGTTTTGAGATATTAGAGGTAAGAGAGTTTCCCCCAACCTCATCGCCCCGGGTAGAGATGGGCAGGCCCATGGGGGCATGTGAGACAGGGGAGGTAGGGCTGAGAGGGAGGCAGGGTCTCGGCCTGAGCTCTCTGACCCGTGTGCCCTCCCACAGGATAACAGCTTTGAGCAGTTTGTGATCAACTACTGCAATGAGAAGCTGCAGCAGGTGTTCATAGAGATGACCCTGAAGGAAGAGCAGGAGGAGTACAAGAGGGAGGTAACCGAGCCCTCGCCCTGCTTCCCCTCTTGTAAAGGACTTCTAGGCACGTGCCGGGTCGTCCTTTCTCCTGGGTCACGATTTCCTCTAAATGTCCCCAGATGGGAACACAGAGGATGAATAATTTCTCTTGCACAGCTGATGGTTCCAGTGTTACCAAGTAGCCTTACTTCTCTCCATCCTCCCCAGCCTCCCCTCCAGGCCAGGGAAGGCAGGGGCAGATTGATGGAAGGGTACATGTGTGGAGAGTCCTGACAAGAGGGAAGTGACAGCTGTGCTTGGCCCATGGCAGACTGTGAGCCAAATATAGAAGGGACATTTCTCCTGGGCTTGGCACCCTACCACATCCCTTTGGGTGCCCTTGTGTAACATCTCAGAATCTTCTCCTCCAGGCTCTGGCTGGTGTTGTTGTCGCCTCTTTATAGCACCCTGATCCCTGACTTCCTCACCAGAAGTGCCCCATGGCTCCAAATTTCCACACTCCTTCCCTGATTCAGTGAAAAATGCTGCTTAATGCCGCTAGGTGTTAGGAAGGCTCTCTGATTGAGCTGATCACCCCCCCAAGTGTAAATGTCTAGAGTCTTACACATCAAAACCCTCCTGGGGGTATTCCCTTGTGAGTGCTGCAGAATTTCAGGCAATGTGATTACAGTGTGTGGAAAAGGTTTTTTTTTAGTTGTTTTGCATGTTTTCATTTTAACAATTTAAATGATCACATACATAACACTTTCCCATGCTTCGAAATTCACAAAGCTTAAGAAGTTGTCTAAAGGAAGGTCCCAGGAGCCTCTCTGAACCTATTCTGGCTTGGGGGTTGCCCAAATTGTGAAAAAAAAAAAAAAAA